TCCTTTCCTCACTTTGGACAGAAACATGGATACAGGGTACTATGTGTGGTGTTGCAGGTTGTTCACTGCACAAGGTCATCCAACTGAGGTGGTGCAGGTTGTTCACTGCACAAGGCATTTCACAGTGTCATCCACTGGGCAAGTGTGGCTGACATCCTGCACTCTGCTCACCAGCCAAGGAGTGACTGTCCCCACGTCTAGGCTGGGGACAGAGAAGGCTTGTGTCCTACTAAGGGCTGGGAAAAACTCCGGTGTTGGGCCCCACGACACTTCCCCACCAGTGGTCCTTCTCTTACCTTGCTGGTGAGATTGGGCCTCTCTCATTTCCAGGTCATGGGTCAGTTCTAGGGGGAAAGAAAAGAAAAGGCAGTTTGTGTGTGTGTGTGTGTGTGAGACAGAGAAATCATGGAATAACAGCTCAGTAAGAGTGGCAATGAGGATCTTTAGAAGCCACTCCCGTACTATTTTACCACAACCTTGCTGGGGGAAGAAGAGATGAAGAGATGTGTCCTGGGCATAGCCTGAACCTGGCCAGCTTGACTCCAACCTCTGAAATCTTCCCAGCTCAAGCTTTACGCCTGGGTTTGGAGTTTAGTTCACCCCTCATGAGACTGAGGAGCCTGGCTTGTTTCGGGGCTGGGGGACTATCTGCCCTTCCTGGGGTGATATGCCAGCCAATCAGAGCAGTTCTGGAGGACCCTTGCTGTGCAGGGCTTTGACCCTTTGATGGCTGCTGGAGTGTGCAGAACTGCTTGGCGGCACTGGAGGCAGGCTCAGGGCAGTGGCTACTTACCCGTCTGGACACTTGCTTTTTGCTATTTTGACAGCCAGTACCGTCGAGCCTGTGTTACTATCTGAACATCAGCGCTGCCCCTTCCCAAGCCCCAGTTCCACCATATTCCCCGAGGCAGGGAGAGGGGCTTCGAGGAGGACAGTGCCGTCTAGTGATGGGGGCCTGGATTGGCATTGAGGGGATGGGGCGGGCAGGCTAGGAGCCACTCAAGGGCACTGGTGCAGGAGCAGTTTCCTCCTGGGTGCTGCAGCCCAGCCGTCACCCCTCTGCCTGCCTGTTCCCCCCAGGCTCCATTCCTTAGTGCCCCCCAAACTCCACTTCTCAGCTCAGGTGAGTCTGATAATTTTTCCAGCCCCACCCTCGCTCCCCCAACTCCACCAGGGCTCAAGAACTGGTACAAGGGCAGAAGGAAGCCAGAAGCCACAGCTGCCTGTGATGCAGACTGACTCAGGGGCACCTGTGTACACCCGCAGGGACACAGTCTGGTGCCCACGGGGAGGAGGTGTGAACCGGGGGACGGGGGAGGAAGGCGGTGCATCTCTGGGACTACCACCCAGCAGCGCCTTCAGGGGCCTTGTGACCCCTCTGCCCCTCCTCCTCATTGCCCTCACCGGCTCTGCCAGAGACCCAGGGCTGTGCCAGAGGTGCCTTCTCTGGGGAGGCTGGTTGTTGCTAGGAGACAGGCAGGTCAGGGTGCCTGAGCCTTCTGCTGTGACCAGAGTCTGAACCTGTTCCCTGGGGCCCCTGTGAGGACTCTGATGCCTCCACCTCCAGGGCTTCCTGGGACCAACTTGGCCCCTCCTCCAGGGCCTTGTGATATAGCCCAGGGACCTTAGCCTAATTTCAGCGATTTGGGAGCGGAGATACCTTGGCTCTGCCATTAACTCCCTGTGAGTGGTTTCTCTTCAGCCTTTAAACACAGGACTTGGGGGTAGGGTGATAAAAATCCCAGCTGGGCTACAGATGAGCATGGTGTGAGGTCAGATATGCTGTGTGACCTTGGGCTAGTAACGGCACTTCTCTGAGCCTCAGTTTTCTCATCTGGAGAATGGGGGCACAGTAGCACCTCTTCTCCAAGGGACTGTCGCCAGGATTAAATGAGAAAAAATAAACAATAGGCTTGGCCAAGGGCTGGGTTGGTGCTGAACGCCTGTGAGTAGTTCTTGTCATCAATCAGGCTGCTTCGCCACCCCAGAACACACCCACCTCTCAAGCCCTTCATTCTGAGTCCTCACCCATCCTCAGCCAGCTCCCTGAACAG